TGCTCCAAGCAGGCCCGTGCAGCCACCCTTTCATTCCTGGGTGTCTTTTTGGTCATTTCTTGATGTCTGATTGATCCTCTGCTGCAGGAAAGGTGGCTGGGTGAGAATGAAGCCGCCCACACCCTGCCTGAGACCCTGCTCCATCTGCGACAGTCACCTTAACAGCTGGCTCACCAGGGTCTCCAGCTCTTGGGTAGATATCCCGAATAGAGATCAGTCTTTCCTCTGCGTTTGGCAAAACAGCTGTCAATTAAATTCTCGAATTCAACTGTTCCTTTGTGATGAAACCCTAGTGGGGAAGATGCCTACTGGATTGTGAGCTGAAGCAACATGAACAAGTGAGACGTAAGACGCAAGAGGCAGGGTCCTCCTCTCTCTGGGCTATGTGACAAATCCATGTCCCAGGTCCCATGGGAAAAGAGAGTGAAGGAGGCAGGGCCCAGGGCACTTGTGGGAGTCTCTGTGTGTTTGCATTCACCAACAGTAACTGTCCACAGTTCCCCAAATAACGTCATCAGGGATAGTCTTGGTGCCAGCCCAGTGGCATAAACTCTTTGTGGCAAAGCAAATATGCCAGAGGAGCATATCTCCTCGTGCAGAACTGGGCTCTGTGGCTGAGGCATGCTCACTGAGCTGGGCAGGCAGCGGCGTTTTCTGCACACAGCCCTGAGTCAGGGGTCCCATCACCATTACCCCCATGCCATACTTTTTTGTTTTTTAAGGTTTACTTATTTATGCCTACAGAACTGGGCTACAGGCCAGAGGCGCAGGGGGTGAGAGGATTCACCAGAGACAGAGTGGGGAGCAGAACAGGCAGATCGGTGGAGTATACTGCTGATAGCTTGTAGTGCTGCGTCCTCACCCATTGCGCCACCGGGGAGGGTCCCCATGTCATACGTCTAACAGCTTTTCTGGGTGCTGCCTTCTCCATTTTACAAGCAAGGCCAGTTCAGCCCCAAGAAATGGATAACTTATCCTGACACAGCCAATACTGGGGGAAGGCAGAGATTGTACACAGGTTTACTAACCCCTACTTGGACAATCCAGAGTATTCTAGAAACGTTCTATTTTCTATGTTCAAGTTACAAGGCAGATCCAACTCTTTCAGTGATGTAATGACTCATCCATTTCTTCTTTATTTTATTTTGCATGCTTACTTTTGACTGTGTGACTTTAAAATTCAGTCATTCCTGGTACCCAGTAGCCCTGCCCCTTTCTCGAGAGCCTTTATTGTGTCTGATAAAGGTAGTATACCCTCCTTGTCCACTGGACACGCTTTGAATGTTGTTGGGACGCACTTACTCATTGAGGTGCTTGTGTGCTTAGGGTCATGCAATTTTTAAAGTCGTGAGACTCCGTGATTGACTCAATGTGTGACCTCTGTCGTCGGCATCCTTTCGCTCAACATTGCCATGAGATCTTACATCAAGCATGTTGCTGGTTGCAGGGGAACAAAGAGAAACAAAACCTTCAGAAAGAGGAGCCCCTCCCCCCGCCCCCTGCTCACCATTCCTGATGGTTCTGCAGCATCAGGTTTTGAAGTTCACTTACCATCACCGGGATGCTGGGAGGCACGCCGGGAACTAGCTGCTGCGTGGTGGGCTGGCCCAGCCATGGTTTTGTCCACGCTCTCCAGCACAGATGTGGCCTCCGCAGTCTGTGTCAGAGAGGAGGGGACAAGGCCAAAGGCTGCTGGCTGGGCCAGGCTTCTGCAGTTTGAGTCACTGAGCCTGGCGGCGTTCCCTGCACAGGCTGTGTGTGACCCCAGAGTTGTCACCAGTACAAGTTGCCATGGGGAGAGTTTATGAGTCGTTTGCAGTTTTCTGCTTAGTTTTCCTCTGGTCTAGGGCCTTCCAGCCATGAGACAGGTTAAAGGTCAATGAAGAGGGCCCTCCCTGGTGGTGCTGCGGGTTAAAGCGCAACACTTAGGAGCTTAAGCCACTTCCGCATGAGTTTGACTCCCGCCTGCCCCTGAGGTGACCCGCACAGCGCGGCAGACCTCTCCTGACCCGCCCGCTGCCCCCTCAGCAGTGTACTGTCCTCAGTCGGCCTGTTCTGCTCCCTTGAAAGCTTTGTTTCCAGAATTCAAATAGGTTATCTGCATGCACCCGAGGAGAAATGTGTTCCTGGACGGAGTTCCAGGCAAGTCCCAAAGATAATGATGAATACTGATTTAGTGGACACTAATAAAGGGAGTGAGTTACGAGAGGGGAGGGAGAAGGGTCAAGGGCATATGAGGGAAGGCAGAAGGGGAAGACCCATCACCCATCACCTCACACACACATGCGACGTGCCACCATCACCTCACCCAAAACACCACCAGCAACAGACACACCCCTCACCACACACAACACAGTAGTCTGTGACCGTCTCTACCACCCGGGCGCTGTTCCCTGGCTGGATGGTGGGGAGACCCGCGTGCACATGTGAGGGAACCTTCTCTAGGAGGTGGGAAAACTGTCATTTACCGTTTTCCTCCAACCGCCCGGCCTGGCTTCTGTCTCTGAGGCTTGGACACAGGGTCCTGATGCCAGGCCCCCTGAAGCGGCCTCCGGGCCAGAGGGCGTTGCCACGCGTCCTCCTGGTGGCCAGGCCTGACCCGCGGGCCGCAGAGCGCAGGCTGAGCCCTGGGCGGCGGCAGCGCCCTCTGGTGGTGACTGCGGCGGAGCGAGCCGGGCCGCGGGCCGGCCTCCCCGGCATCACACCCGCGGCAGGGCCCCTCAGGAAGAAGAATTCTCAGGCAGGAAGGAAGGGGGCGCTCACGAAGAGTCGCCCCTCAGCGCCTCCGCTGCCAGCTGTGACGCAGCAAGCAGCCCGATCCTTCCCCTGAGGTTGGCCACCGCAGCCCTTTCTCTGTCCTTTAGAGCCGGCACCAGCGCTCCGGGTCGGCGCCGTGGGTCAGAAATCGCAGACCCGGAGTCCTGATTCCCGACACAATCTGAACGCGGGACCTGGGGGCTGCTTCTGCATTCAGATTGTGTATTTCTTCTGTATTTCTTCAGTCTCCACCCCAGGACATGCTTCTTGTGGCATTTTCCAGGCTGTCCACCCTCACCTCACCCCTGCAGGGGCCGCCACCTGTAACAGCCTGGCTTCAGGCTCAGGAGCAGCCTTTGGGGCTGGACGGGGCTCGCAGGGCGTCCAGCATCCTGATTGTGGGGTGGAGTCACCGTGGGGGCTGCAGCCTGCCCCGTGTGGGTGATGCCGGTCCCTGAACCTGGACTTAGATCCACACGGACAGCTACTGGGACTCAAGGGTGAAGTGTGGTGACCGGCTACGTGGGCTGCTCCGTGCTCCATCAAACCGCAGCAGAGTTTCTGAAAAGTGACCTTGCATACTTGACTTCTTCCCAAAAGTCACTTGGAGGGCCAGAGACTCCACTCTTCCTCGTCTGCTCCTGTGTTTTCTGGTGCTGTTCAGCGAGCTGTGGTTTGTAAAGCCTCCCTGGGAGCCCAGGGGCTACAGGTCCCTGCCCACACACACCCCCTTGCTGGTCCCTGCCCAGCCTGATCCCACGGCTGCCCAGGCTCCCGGCCTCCTGAGGGGCCAGATGTTAGTGTGACCCGGAGCTGGCTGGCCGCCTGCTGCCAGGACACTGTCCTCCACGCATGCTCCCCGTGGCTTTCTGGGAGAACAGAGAGAAGGACACACTCCCAGCGCAGCCCAGATGGCCAAATCCCCACTCAGACACCACCTGGCCGAGCCTCCGGGACAGTGGCAAAAGGAAGCCTTCCACCCGCAGCTGTTTTGGGTTCAGCTCAAGTCCGATGGTTTGTCATGGGCCAAGGTCAGAGAAGCAGGGACCTGACTGGGTGACCCCAGTCTCCCGCCCTCTCACGCCAGAGGACAAGGACCTAAGGAAGTGACCAGCATATTGCAGATAGAACTAGTAGATGTGGGAAATGCAATGAAGGGTCCCGGGGATCAGGGTATCAGCCCTTCAGACGGAGCTGAAAGAGCTGGAAGGTAGAACTGAAGACACAGCCCAGAGACACAGCACAGCGGGAGAGGAAACCACAGCGGTGTGTGGGAGTCTGTGGGTCGGGACAAGCAGCCAGACGACGATCCCGGCTGCCAGCCCACTTGCCCCATGGCCTGGAGGCTGGAGCCACAGGAGAAGGTCAGGGAAGATGCAGGTGTGGGGGGAACAGATGCATTGACCCAGCATTCCAGACAATCTAATCGAGAACCTAATGCGTGCACAGGTACGTTGTCAAGACTAATAACAGCTCTTACTTTACACCACCGGACACACACTTCAGTGACAGCCAGCAGGAAGAGTCATTTAAAAATTCATTATTTGCATATTTAGAAAGAAAATAATTTTTCTTTACAAGAGATGATGGTTCTCCCTGGTGGTGCAACAGGTTAAAGCTCAGCATGATAGAGATTTCTGCGGCCGCTGCCACGCAAGTTCAATCCCCCGCCAGGGAGGCCCCAGGGTGCAGCAGACCCCTACCGTCTCCCCTTTGTTCCCCTCAGCAGTGTGCCTCAGTGGATCTGCCTGTTCTGCTCCCCACTCTGTCTCTGGGGAGTCTTTTCACCACCCACCCATGCCTCTGGCCTGTACCCCAGTTCCTGTATGCATCAATAAGTCAATCGTTAAAAAAAACAGAGGATAAAAAAGAGATGATGACAATGGCAGCAAACGCCAGATTTTTACAAATTGACCTAAAAATATCCTGATCTCAAGAAAAAATGGTAAAACTTCTTAAAAGACATTAAAGAAACCCCAGATGAATTGGAGCTGAATTTCCCGTGTGAATGGGGAGTTTCCTGTTGTGAAGACAGGACCCGCTTCTCCCAGAATGCCCCGCTGCTCTCATGACCCCAGCACAGACCCAAGGGGGTTTTCTCCCGTGTGGCAGTGGTCCAGGCATACACGCCCGCCGGCCAGAGCCAGGACAGCCGCTCGGCCGGCGTCATTCTCCCCCAGCCCAGGCCTGGAAGGGCGGACCGGGAGAGGACCCTCTGCTGAGAGCAGGGGTGAGGGCAGAGGGCTGCTTCCCATGCTACAGGGCGGCAGGGCAGTGCCCTCATGTTGCCTCCCCCCCCCCACGCCGGCGTGGGGGGGGGCAGAGGGACCGGCCGCAGGACACCTCCCAGCTCCATCCCTCCGCCTTGGGCGGACTGGGCCCTGTCTGGGGCAGACGAGCTCTGTGCCTGATCTATGCCTGAGAGCCTCTCTCTTGTCCCCCAAGGTGCCCCCAGCACAGAGTGTGGAAGCCCCCGGGGCAGGCAGCAGCGAGTCGCGGTAAGTACCCGAGTGCGCCCGCCAGGCCTTCTGCGGGCTCTGGACCCCAGGCCAGGCAGCCCCAGCTGTCGGAAGCTGCCCTCTCCCTGGGCGGGTCCCGCTGTGGGAAGGGCCTAACACTGGAGCCAGCTTAACCTCCCCTGAAGTGGATGGATGGGGGCTCTGCGGCCGGGCCACCCCCACCCCCGCCCTCACTCACCTGTGCCGCGGGACGGGCACCGTCCTGGTCTCCTGGTCTCGGGAGCTCACAGCCTGCAGGGGCGGTGACCCGGCAGGCCCCGGAGGCACCTTGAAACCCCGAGTGTTAGCGGAGCACCCCAGGCCCGGAGACCGCGCGGCCCAGGACTGTGAAGAGCAGCCCCCAGGAGGCTCAGCAGGGCCATCTCGTCCCCGACCCCGCACCCAGTGGTCTGGTCAGTGACTGATGCCCCCTCTTCACTGGGAGGCGGTGACTGTGGCGCTTAAGCTCACTGATGTTGCCACTCTGGCTCAGCCGCTCTTTTTATTGGCGATTCCTGGTTTGGGGGCAAGAATGCGCTGGATTCCCTGATTGAACAAATGCTTGTGGGTCTCTCACGAGAGCAGACTGGGGCCCAAGGGAGGTCAGAGAGGGGACAGAGGCGCCCCAGCTGGTGGGAGAACCGGGACAGCAGTGGTGGGGAAGCCTTCCAGGTGGCGGGCAGCACTGGCCAGAGGCCTGGCCTTGCTAGGGCCTGCGCCCGGCCGTGGGCAGCGGCATGGGGCTGGAGGCCGTGGGCGGGCGTGGATGAGAGAAGGTTGAAATGCTGGCGGGCTTGAGAGCCACGCTCGCCACCGGCCTCTGCTCAGGTAGGAGAGTGTGGGGCAGGCTCTAGGCCCTGGGGTACCTGGCGGGGAGACAGCGAGGGCGAAGTGGGAAGAGCTTAGCAGGGCTCCCTGCTCCCCACAGGGCCCGCAAGCCTTGGTGCAGAAGCCTGGTCCCCTCAGACTCTCCTCCCCACTGGGTCATCAGCCACCACCATCCCTCTGCTGAGCACGCTGCCCGGGGCACTGCAGGCCCGCTGTGTGCCCCTGTGCGCGAGGGGGCAGTGCCCGCGGCAGGGACGGCCCAGGCCCACACACGCCTGCTGAGGCCCTGGCAGTCTCCTGTGGGCCCAGCTCAGGGCCCACGCCTCAGCTCTGGCAGTGCTTCCCCGGACCTGGAAGATCAGTTACGTCCGTCGCCTTCCGTTTCGCCCACCTAAGGCGTTTGGAAGGATCAAATCCTGCACTGACTGAACTATTTTTCCTTCAACTCCGGGCCCCACTGCAGTAGGCACCTCCTGCTTTTACCCCACTCTTGCCAGGGGCCTGCCTGCCCCTCCTTTCTCCCTAACTTCGTTCCCGGACACAGTCAGCACCCCTGAGAGTCCGCACAAATTCAGGAAGTGGCTGGCGGGGGCCGCTCTCTGATGCCAGGCAGCAGGAACAGAGGCCCGCTCTGCCCGTCCTGAGCACCTGCCCAGGCTGGGGTGTTGGGCAGCTCGGCAGTGCCACACAGCTCTCGGAGGGCTGGGAGACGCGCCCGAGAACTGGGCACGGGAGAGGGCGAAGGGGTTGCCAGGGCAAAGGGCTGCCTTGTGGCTCAGGACGGGTCAGACCCCGGGAGGGGCCGCCGGCTTGTGCCCGCAACCAGCTGGAGCTCGCACGCACCCTCCCGACTCCCTCCCATCTCTGTCTGCAGAGCCGCGGGCAGCCACCAGCAGGGGCCAGAGAGGCAGCTGGCCATCTCCTACGACTACGCCGAGGAGGAGCTGATGGCCAGCATCGAGCGGGAGTACTGCCCCGAGGCCAGTGGCGTGGCAGCGGAGGCCCTCCCGCCACCCACCAGGCTGGGGGACTGCACCCCCGCTCCTGCCCCGCACCCCATGCAGAGCTGAGTCACCGCCAACGGTGACTCCTGGGTCTTTCAAAGCCGTCTTCTCTAGCCCACACGTGGGCAGCCTTGACGGGGGCGGGCTGCGGCCTTGCCCCTCCTGGAGAGCCAGGCAGGGCAGCGGCGTCCCAGGCGCCTGAGGCCTGTCTGCAGGGACCTTGGTGAAGCGCGTGCCTGACCTCCGGGAAGCCCTTACTCCACCTGACCACAGAAGGCTTCGCAGCTGAGTATGGCCCTGACCAGTCGCCTCGGGGCCTCTGACGCATCCCCCGGTGCTGCCGGACGCTTCTGTCACCAAGAGTGAGCGCAGATGTACTCCCCAGAGGCGGAGGGGGGCCCCACAGTTCTGCACAGGAAGCCCTGGGAGACAGGCGCTCTGAGATACCGATACAGGTCTGACTGGGTAGGTCGGGGCCGGGCCTGGAGCCCGCATTTCCCACCAGCCCCTGGGCAGTCACAGGCGAGGACCACGGCCGAGGCTGAGCGTCTGCCCCGTCCTGCCAGCTGCCGGAGGCTGCATGCAGCCTGCGTGCTGTAGGCGGGGGCCTGGGCTGGGCTCCTGAGACCTGCTTTGGACTCACGGTCCTTCTCTGCCCCTCCCGAGTCAGCCCAGAGGCGCTGATCTGTGGTCATATCCCAGGCTTTGAGCAACCTGGTGCGTGCCTCCCCCCCCACCCCCAGAACTGCCTCCCCCACTGAGGACGAACCTCCAAGGGGGTCTGCTGAGGGGGCGGCCGGTCTGTGGTTAGAGCTGACAAATACCCAGTAGGGCCTTTTACCCTCCGCCCCACCGCAGGAAGGGGGCACACTGCCACCAGGGGAGGCGCCTGACAGGCGGGAGAGCCCACTGGCAAGGAAGGCCGTGCCACGGGCTCCTGTGGGCGAGCTTAGCCAGGCCCAGGAGGCCGGGCCAGGCCAGGAGGCCAGGTAGCCAGGAGGCCAGGAGGCCAGGAGGCCAGGAGGCCAGGAGGCCAGGAGGCCAGGAGGCCAGGAGGCAGGCCTTCTGGCTCAGGCATGGGAAAGTGACCTCGGTGCTCCCAGGCCAGTCAGTCTCTGCTTGTCTCACACTCTCTCACGGACACAGCGCCCACCCCTCCCCCAGGAGAGCAGCCGCTGTCTGCTGCAGGACATGACACCCTGGTGACGCACGGGGGTGGCGGTGGGGGCGGCGCTCGGCCTGCCAGGCCACAGGCCGCTGCCATCACGGCAAGCGGGCGCTTCCCTAAGCCTCATTGCTCGACCACAGTGCCTCTGTGCAGACGCCCAGGAGCCGGGGAACTTGTACTGACGTCAGCGGATGGACTCAGGGAGCCGCTCAGACTCCCGGGGGGATGGCTCAGAACCTCCAGAGGTGGGCAGGGCCATTTCCCGCCCAGCCCAAGCCACTGCTCTCGCGGGAAAGAAAGAGCATCCCTTGCGGGCTGCCGCAGCACCGGGCTCTGTGAGGGAGGCTGTGCTTCCGCCGCGGACTTGGCTTGCATTGACCACGCGGCTCGTGCGCGATTCACATCGCTGTTTTACCAGAGTGGAGCATGCTTGGCTGCTTTCCCAGAGAAGTCCTTAACAAAGCTGCTAATGAGATACAAGTGTTAAAAGGATAGAGCTGTCCCTTGCGTAGATGGGTTGGTGTTCATGTCAAGATTAAAGAAGAGGCATCGAGTCAGCGTTTTCAGGCCTCCTTCCTCTCCCACCACCTCATCCCCCTTTCTTTTTTTGCCCTGTGGTGCCGGCCCTGGAGTGCCCCCTGCCCCGGTGAGATGGCGGCAGGCCGGGCACGGGCCGTGCGCAGGGCGCTGCCGGGCCTGCCCCAGGCTCAGTGTTGCCTGCGCGGCGGCTGAGGATCTGCTCAGACGGAGGAACCACGGCCGGAGGGACAAGGCCTGGCGCCAGTGACCCCGACAGGCGCCCAGGCCTGCAAGTCCACGTACCTCCGTGTGTCTCCGGGGCTCGGTGCGGGCCTTCCTCTGCGGGGCTACAGTCAGGAAGTTAGAAAACACTGCCCGGCCTACAGCGTCTCTGGCAAGGGGCAGAGCAGGGCAGGCCCGCCCTCTGCCCACAGCTCCTGCTCCTCCCCCTGAGCATCTTCCCAAGCTCCCAGGCTGGAGCGCCCGCCCCCAGGGCTGCAGCCGGCCTGTGTGGGGCAGCGCCCTGGCCTCTGCTCACCGTGGGGAGTGCAGCCTCCAGGGAAGAGCACACACAAAGCGGGACTCACCCTGAGGAGAGACAGGCTGCCAGGGGCAGACGACCCCTGCGGGCCTCACTGGGTGGGGGGAGCCTCTGGGCCTTGGGTGCACTGAGGGCTGAGCCCAGTGTCGGGGGCCTGGCGGGGAGGGGGATGTGGCAGCCTTCTCCTTGGTATTTTGATAGGTAGGGGTGTTCCTCCCTGGACACCCCTGGGGACCTGGCATCCGCTCACGCACGCCCACGCCAGCGATCCCTCCGTGCAGGCGGATGCGGCCCTTCCCTTCCTCAGTGTTGGTCCTGTGACCCTCGCCACTCGGTGTTCCAGGGCTCGGCACCTTGCCCCGACTCAGGGGCAGCCTGGGAGCTTCCTGAGGACCACCTGGGTGGCAGGGCATGCTGCCCATCCCCTGGCCTGGGGGGAACGTCATCTCTCCGACAGCAGGCCAGTCCCCGGCGGCCTCGTCCTTCCCGCCGGGATGCCCCTGCCTTCCAGGTGAGAGGCTCCACGCAGCCGCCCCCCCCCCCCAAGCTTGGCAGGAGGAAGCCATGCTAGTGGCTTCAGGCCGGCTCACGTGTGGCAGCAGGGCCCAGGAGGAGCTGCTCACACGAGACCTGCTAACCCCATCCGGATACTCCTGGGCCCCAAGTCGGTGTCCTTTCAGGAAACCTGGTTCTTTGGGTGGAAGGCAATGAAGGGTTTCTCCTAGGAGGGAAGGGCCAGAGCTGAGGCAGCAGGTGCCTGGGTCTCTACTTGGTCCTTGTTTAATAGCCAAGGACAGTGAGTTCAGGAAGGTGGAAGATCTCACACGTGGCTTGACAGGTGGGATCTGAACCAGGCCTGTCTCAGGCCAAGTCAACAGTCCCTCCAAAGTGGCCAGATGACCAGGAGGCCCTCTGCTGGGCTCTTGCTGCCCACTGCTCAGAGGCTCGCTCCTGGCTGGACCCTGGAATTCAGTTGTGCTCACCTCTTCTGTGAGACCTCACAGCTTTCGTCTCTCCAAGCCCACCTATTTCTTCCTCTCCCCCGTCTCTAGTCTCCCAGCTGATCTCCAGTCCCCTGTGCAGCTGGCCAGGGCAGCAATTTCCCATTCAGCAAGTAAGGAAGAACGGATTCCCCTGCTGAGCCTCGCAGGGGCTGGCCCCAGAGGAGCCACAGGCCAGCCTCGCCATCTTCACATGGCCCCGGGGTCCATGAGGATTGTGCTGCCCCCCACCCCCTTGCGTGGCAACTAGGACTGGCATGCCCCAGGCCATCTCTGTGCCATCACGCTCCAGAAGGGGCTGGGTTGCAGAGGTCCATGGGACTGTGACGGATGGGTGGGGAGAAATGCACTCGGGGTGACCTAGTCTCGCACCCAGGCGGCTGGGAGGTATTGCTGTGCTGACAGCGGGCTCGGCCGTGGCAAGCGGTACAGAGCTCTGGCGCTTGGCAGTGCCAGCGAGCCGGTGGAAGACGACGGCTGGTACTGGTCAGCGGCTCAAGTGAGAGGGACAGAGGAGACAGGTTCAGGGTCTTCGCGGGAGAGATGTTTTCATCTAAGTCACAGGCTAGAGCACACAGGGCTGAGGGGACGTGAACTGCACTGTCACGGCCACCCCACACTGAGGCCTCGGGCCAAAGGGGACGGGTGAGGCCGGAGAGGTGGCGGAGGTGTCCAGGGGAGTAACTGGCTCTGTCCCACACTGCCAGCAGCAACGTGACAGCCAAGTGTCCCCGTCAAAGTCTGGCTCCCGGTGCCCCCCACTGGGTGCGGGATAAAACCCCAGGCGGAGTGGGCTCAAGGGGAATGTACCCCGGGGCTGGGGTGGTGACTGGCCTCTGGGCTGGGCCAGGGCAGCAGCCTCCTCCAGTTTAACCTCCTGGCCGAAGAGGAGGGGGGACCGGGGTTACCGGGCACCGACAGCCCAGTCCCGCTAGAGCCAGGCCCACACCAGAGTGGCCCACAGAGGCCGCCTTGGCTGCCTGGTTTGGGGAGAATGAAACCCCCCAAACCAGGAAAACAGGTCGGGCCAACAGGCGATGAGATTTGCCAGATTCTTCCCACAAGTCCCTGGCGTACTGCAATGCCACTAAATGACACTGGACACAGGTCTAGTTTGCAAATCAAGTTTTTATATGATTCAACAAAAAAAGTTACATCACGCATATTCGTTTAAATAAGCCCAAGTCCGTGACATAAAACATAATTCTGAAACATTTAAAATTTTATTACTGAAAGCTACGTCAAAGGCTCAAAGTCAAAAGAGATCAAGCGAAACTGCTCAGGTGATAAAGTGCACTGGGCGGGGCTCTGCCCACAGGGAGCCCACGCGGAAGCGCCGCGCCCACGGGCTCTGCTCGGAACGGCGTTTGTGGGTGAAGCCGTTTTCCGACTTGCAAGCCTCCGGCTGACAAACAGAAGGCAGACGCGAGCTGCTGACAGACGGTATTTCTGATCCCAGCCGGGAGACGAAACCGAAGTCAGAACCGTTTGTGGACCAGCCCTAGGCACCCAGGCGCGGCGTGAGGACCCCCGTTCTGCGTGACTGGGTAACCCCCATGTGTGGCCACTTCCAGGACACGCACAGCACCGCTCAGCTGACCGTGGCGGAGAGGCGGGCGTGGGGGCGAGGCTAAAGGCATACGCCGAACGGGGGTTCTCGCGCCTGTCCGGTCAGACGGGGAAGCCTCTAGTGGCCACCAGCAGACGACCATGCCAACCGGCTGACACAGACGGGCACCTGGTCACGCCTGGGACCAGGGGAGGGTGCGTCAGACTGCAAGACCCAAACAAAGGCCAACTGTCCTTAGTCATCTCCCACCTTACCACCAACTGAACAAAGGTAAACAAACGCCAACCCGCAGAGGCCAAGCCACGTCCTAAGCACCCACCGCACAGGGCCGGCCCAAGCGCGCCGCCCGCTGAGTGGCGCCGGACAGCGGCAGCTGCGGCCTGCTGCGGCCTCCCCGTGCAGGCGGGGACCCGGGCTCCTCCCCGCAAGACAGCAACACACCCTGTTCTCAGCCATTTTCCTTTGATCTGTTTCCTTCTAGCGAAGCAAACGCAGGGCAGTGGGGATGCGTGGCGTGCGGAGAGTGAGGGGCGTCCCGGACACTGCACCCCACCCCACCCAAGCAGGACGCCGGGAACGCTCCTGCAGCTGACAAGGGGGTGGCCCCTACAGGTCACTCTAGCCAGACACTACAGACAAGGCCAGTGGAAGGCCGTGGGCAGCTGACCGGGCCGATCACCATTTGCTTACACTATCTGAGGTACAAGCAGGACACCGTGAAGTTTGCGCTCAGCAGAAAAATGGCCCTGAAAGACACAGGCGCTGGGGCCCCACACGAGCCCCGCTCCCAGGCTGCCCCGCGGCCCCGTCACCGGCCGGCTGCTGCTCCGGAACAGGAGGCCGCCGCGGGCGGCACAGCCCCACCCGATCTTTCACAGGCCCCGCGTCAACCCGTCCTGATTCTCAAACAGTCTCGTCTCGGAAAGGTCTGGCGACACACCCGTGACTGCTTTTTGGCTGAGTGATACATCAAGCTGATGGAAGCAAGGTTACTATAAAAACGTTATTAAACAGTGAGGACTGTAAAACCTAGAAATTGGTGACTTCAGCACCAACAATGTATTTTTATAAAAAAACAGTATAAAAACCAGTACCCTGTCTCATTTCTACAAAACCCGAACAGGAAGGTGGTAAAAACCCAGATTCTGTAAACTTTATGGCCGCAACGTCTGCCTCAAAGCGGTGACTCCAACGACCCCCCTCCTTCGGCTGCCCCCAGCTCCTGAAGCGCCACAGGCACTGACAGGGCCCTACCCAAAGGACAGGGCGACGCGCCCACGGGGACCCGCGTCCCGCTCTCCCGGCCGCCCGGTCCCGCGCTGCGGGGTCACCGTCCTCCGCGGCTCCCACGCCCCAGCTCCCCGCGGGCCTCTCAGGAGGCGGCGGGGGCGCTGGCCAGGGCGCCCCCCGGCTTCTCTGCCGACGCGATTCTGTTCAGTCTGCCCACCTCAGCCTGCCAGCCGGGGGTCTTCTTGGTCACATGGCGCCGGGCGTGCTTGGTCAGGTGGTCGCTGCGCATGAAGCGCCGGTCACACACCGGGCACACGAACTTCTTCTCTCCGGTGTGGGTTCTGCGGTGGCGCGAGAGTTCGTCTGAGCGAGCGAATTTTTTATCGCAGCCGTCCCAGCTGCAACCGAACGGCTTCTCTCCTGGGGCGAGAAAACACGTCTTAAAGAAAACACAGAGCCGAGCCCCGGCCTCGCAGGTGGCGGCCGTCCTCCACAGGGTCACTCAGGGACGCCTGCGGGGCGAGACCCTGGGGCAGTCGGGCGCGGGCTCCAGGGGCACCAAGGTGCAACTGCAAACGGCTTTTTAAAGAAAAACCTCCTGCCCCGCTCAGGTGGGGAGATCTCAGGGGAAGACGAGCCCCGGCCCAGGAGCCGCCACCCAAAGCTCCCCCGGGACCTGCACGCCCGCACCCCGCCCGCCCCTCCCTTCATAGGATGTGCCCCGGTTCCAGCAGCCACGTCGCTGGCACTGCGTTTCGGGGCCCGGCAGGGGCGGCCAGCCCCTCCTGCACGTTCTGAGGAAGCCCAGGCCCCTCTGCGACTAGGACAGATTTTCAAATCCAGGGGAAACAGCCACCTACCCACCTTCTCCAGGACCTCGCGCCTCCCTCCCACCCACAGGCGCCTCTACCGGGGTCCAACGCCGCCCAGGTCCAGCTGCTCGAGGCTCACCGGTGTGGGTGCGGAGATGGGCCTTGAGGTGGGAGCTTTTGAAGTACGTCTTCCGGCATCCTGGGAAGCTGCAGACATAGTTCCTCCTTCGGGAAAAGTCTACCTGAGGGGCACAATGTTGACCCGAGGCGATGAAGACAGGGGCAGGGGCGAGGGGCAGTAACTTGGGGCTCCCAGCAGTCAGCGCGCTTGGGGGGCAGGCGGCAGGCTGGGGGAGGGTGCCCTGGGGCAGCAGCAGCATCACAGTTCCCTGAGGCACAGGGGCGCCCACGAACAGAGGCTGGGGCCCCGGCGCAGCCTGGGGCAGGATGGGCTTGACAGTCCCCGCAGACACTGGGGGCGGGGGTCTCAGAAAGGCAGGGAGCGTGCCGCTTCGTCCGGTCACAGGGATCATTTGGCAAAGGACGGGGGCGCTGGGGACGGGGACGGACACCAGAGGAGTGGCTTTTCTTGCCCAGTCATTTTCATAATTCTTTGGTGAGCAGGTCTGCACCGCAGGGGGCCGCCCTGGCTGCGGGCCTTTGTCGGCAGGGCTCAGGCTTCCAGGCTGGTGGGGCGCGTCGGCAGCGAGCACGCTGTCCATGCTGCGTGCATCATGCAAGGCCTTCACCGGCCCTGCGAGCCGTGCTCCTCCCTCTCCGGAGCCTGACAGCGGGTCCTCCTGAGCCTGTGAGGTGGGGGTGTGGGTAGGAGCGGGAGTCCTCGCAGTGTGGCAGATGACACTCGTCACCAGGGCCCTGCAGGCGGGGCCGGGCGCTGGCAGCGGGGGCTCGGGCTTCACACTAGGCAGGCCCCTGTCTGCCCCCTTGCCCAGCCCTGGGGCAGGCCCGGCAGGGGCGGAGGGGTTGGGCGCTTTGGACTCAGTCACTTGCGAAGACACAAGCACCCCTGGCGATGGCTCCGTGAGGTCTGGGCTCTGAGGAGGAGTCATACACTTGAGAAAAACAAACAAACACCGTGTGACAAGGCTGTGTCGGTTACGTTCGGAAGAGATTTTGTGACCTGTTGCCCCCACTGCCCGTAAAGGGCGTCTGGAAAGGTCTGGCCTAAGCAGCTCACACAGGAGTGGCCAGCAGACATCAAGGCCGAGCCAGGCGCTTCCCTTCCTGGCTGCTCGACTCTGGACTCCCCAGACCCCTCAGGCTGGCAGTGGTGCACCCGGAGTGTGAGCCTCTGCACTGCGCCCCGTCATTTCACTACTCCCAAACCCAACGTGCAGGAGCCGGCAGCTGGCAGTGCTGGGAGGGCTCAGCAGCCACCCCCGAGCCCAGCCCCCCAGCGGCACTGGGCCAGGCGATGCCACTTGCCAGGCGGCTTGGTGAGGGGTGCCTCCTCGACCCCCACTCCCACGGCCCATACCCCTTGGTTCCCAGGGGAGAGGACAATGACTCGCTCGAGTCCGCCTGCAGGTTTTGCCCCACGGACCTGGGGTACAGGCCTGGCTCGGGTCTGAAACTGCATCTGGACAGAGCCTCTCTGGAGAAAGAAGGGCCCCACGGGACCTCGCGAGGGGAAGCAGGCACCTGCCTGCAGCACAGGGAACAGCCCCACAGCCCCGCCTCGCCCCTCACCAGCGTCGCCAGAGAGTGGCAGTCCCTCGGGGGCTCCGGCACCGCCTCTGCGTCCACCGCGCACACGGCACCGTCCCCGGCGTCAGAGGCGGGCGTGAGGGGCCTGGCCCTGAGCAGCTCCCCCTTCTGCGCGCGCCGGCCCCAGGAGCTCATGCACACCAGCGCCTCCACCGCCTCCATGTCCGTCTGCTCCAGGACACCGCAGGCCGACCTCTCACTGCCGTGCTGCTGCCGCTCCAGGATCGACTCGCACATGTCCACGATGTCCACCTGCGGCCAGACACGCTCCTGAGCGGGCCTGCACCCAGCGCTCACGAGGGCTGGGGCCGGCGCACGAACAACCATGATCACGGCTCCGAGCCGATGGTCTGGAGGACCGTGGGCTGGCAGGAGGCATCCACGGACACCCCAATGCTTCAAAAGATCAAACGCCCCCTTCCTCTGGCTGACACCAAGAAGGCCGGCGCCACGTGGTCGCAAAGCCGCCCCAGGAGGCCCCCCAAGCAGAGGCACCGCCACCCCAGGACTTTCTGGGGGCCCTGTCTCCAACGCCACAGGCTGGGGGGAGGGAGGGGGAGATGGGGCGCTCCACTACAACCAGCTCCCCCACCTGGGGAGGGGGGCTGGCAGGCCGCACCCCTCCTAAGGAAACTCACCCTGGAGAGACCTCCCCACCAACCTGTTCTGCCAACTGGGGGGCCACACAGGCCACCATCACCAACGCCCTGGGAACCAGTTTCTGCCCCAACCGTGAGATGACAGAAGCGGGGCGGTGCCCGCTGGGGCAACACGCAAAATGGAACCAGAGGGGCTTGGGTACGACCTCGCCCTCTTGGCGCCTTGAAGTCCAGGTCTCAGGTCTGGCCAGCGAACCCGCCGCGTGCTTCCCGCCAGTGCTCGCCCCGCCCCTCGCCCCGCCCCTCAC